CTGAAATACAACATAAAATATCAGAGACTCGCTCGAGCATACTCGCACTCGATAACTCAACCCTACTTGTTCCCTAGTACCCTAAGGATTCTTACTTGGACTGCGCACTGATCCGGTGTCTTCAGTAGTACGGGCCCTATACTACCGTCCACACCGCATCAGTATTCAGCCCAAGTCCTCCTCCTAGGATCCCAGGTCACAAGTACTCTACATCTCGCTCGCATAGGCTACCCTTCGGTAGACCTCACATAAGCTCCTCACTGCTACGTACTCACTCTCAAGCATCTCATAGCAGCAAAAATCTTCCTAGGCTAAGGCATCACAAATCAGGCCACTCTAGTCCTAATATGAATACCTAGCCTACTCTAGCATGCATAACATATCATAACATATCTCATCACACATAATGTAAGGGTATTTTGGGAAATCACCGTTCGGGCGCTAGCTGATCGTACACACTGCTTCCTTCTGCTTTTCTCAAATTCTTTTACTTTTTAGAAAAATTGTTTATTTTACGAAAACTTTCTCAAATCCTCAGTTTGAGTTCAAATACACCCGAAGGTGCATCCGAATCCCTCAAACCAAGGCTCTGATACCAACTTGTAACAACGTAAATTTCCAAAACAATTTTTCATTTTCAAAACATACTTTTATTCATAAGATAATATCAAAACATAATGTATCCAATGTTATCATAACAAAACATATCCCAGAATCTCACAACATAAACTCCATGAGTGTGTACGGATCATGTCGGCGCCTTCTCGCGATCCTCGCTAGTACCTGAAACACATAACACAACAACTGTAAGCATAAATGCTTAGTGAGTCCCCCAAAATACCACATACGCACATACACCACTCAAGGCTATAAGACCTTCCGGTCACTGTGTCTCAGAGGACTTCCGTCCCACAACCCTGGTAGACCTTCCGGTCCTACCCGTAATGACCTTCCGGTCCATATCATTCTGACCTTCCGGTCCATATCATAATGACCTTCCGGTCCTTGTCATTCATAACATACAAAACACATACGCATCATATAACAGCATACAGCACATACATCTCATAGCATATAAGACCTTCCGGTCACACATAGGTACCACTCTAGGTACAGTATAGTGAGAAGACTCACCTCGTACGATATCGGATAATCTCCCGTGCTCGGATACCCGATCTAGCCTCCTCCTATCAACAGAATAACATCCCTAATCAATACTCTCTCATAATCTCATCTCTAATGATGGGTAGAAGACCATTCTACCCCTCCCATAACTCTCTTGAATCAGCTTGACCAAAACCCTAAGGTCAACTGAAGTCAACGGTCAAACTTTGACCCGACTCGTCGAGTGCACATGGGCGACTCGGCGAGTCCATGCGGGTCCTCTGAATCCTTCTAGCCTCACTTGGCACGTCGAGTCATCCCTCCACTCGACGGTTACTCCTGTCACGAATCACGGGGCAACCCCGACTCGACTCGTCGAGTCCACTTATGAACTCGGCGAGTTGCATCCATGGCAACACTCAAATGACCTTCTGAGGTCAGATCCGCTTCTCTAACCTATAGATCTGACATTTCCATACCCACTAATCACGTAAAGGTGAAACCTTTACACTCATGCAACACATATATGGTTCCTTTTGAAGAAATAGCCTCAAAAATGGCAACCTAAGTTCATTCCTTCCATAACACATCATAAAGCAAGATGGATAATGCTCTCTGGACCTCTATGGGTCCAGATCTGAAGTCTAACACATAAAGGGACCATAAACTCATCAATTCAAGCCATAAAAAGAGTATAGAAAACCCTAGATTCATAGATCTTAACCAAAACAGGAGAGTTCGATTTGCTACCTCAACACTGTAGATCCAAGCTTGGAAACCACGGATTAGCTACCCTCTTGACCTCCTCTAGCTGGAAACACCTTCTTCTTTGCAAAACAACACCAAAAATGATTAAAATGGCTTGCTCTCACACACAACTCGCCCAAGCTCTCTAGGGTTTCTCTCTCTGGACTGGTAGCCGCAAATGAGGGCTATAAGGTCCTTTAAATAGGGCTCAAGCCTGCAGATTTAGGGTTTCTGACCTCAGCGCGGACTCGTCGAGTCACCTTGCCGACTCGTCGAGTCCATTCATAATCCAGTCAGCAAATCGCGATCCTACTCGACGAGTCTAGGCGTCGACTCGTCGAGTCCTTCTCTCTAACTCAAAATAAATGAATAACATAGAATACCTGGGAATCCGGATGTTACAATGTAAATAGTCTTAATATGGTTGAATTTTTAAAGGAAATTAACTGATTATATATTCTCTCAAATTAATGTTTAGTTTGAAGGGGCGTGTTAAAAACGTTAATATTTTTTATATTCAAACTTAAACATTAATTTATAGATTATTGGGTAAGATATGTATGTATGTATGTATATTTGTGGGGGTGTGTTGTGAATGTTTTATGCAGGGAGTTGGGTTTACACGCGGACTTTGGGTTGTATCCATGGTTCGCTTGACCCGGTGTACGTAAGTGGGTAGCTGGATGTGTTGTATCATTCAGACAATATTATCCTTCGTATAGTTGCTCTCTCATTCTCTTTCAACTGTAGATTAGGGTTTTCTATCTAGCGTTTGTTCATATTCTGTGTGCTAGTACAAATTCTAATAGATTTGTAATATGAGAGTGAGTGGATTGTGTAGTGAGGTTTCAGTTGTAATCTGTTTGATGTAAAACCATATGTTTCATAGTGAATGAAATGATGATGTTGGGAAGTTCTTGAGTTGTTTACGTTTTTTAGAAATATTCGGAGAGCATTTCCGTCATTTCTCTACCACACGACCATTTATGATGTTTTGTCTTATTTAATATATATATATATATATATATATATATATATATATATATATATATATACTCTCTCTCTCTCTCTCTCTCTCTCTCTCTCTCTCTCTCCCACCACTTAGTTTGGGATTTTGGAATGTTGATGTTTGCTTTTATAAATTTAAATGCCAAACTGATGGCTTAAATAGAAATTTGTAAAGCCAAATTGTTGAATTTATTGGTTTTAGCATGTGGAGTTCAATAGGTTGACAAAATCAATGAACATAACTAAAAAGCAAAAGTTACAACATGGAACAGTTGAACCCGAAAAGTGATTTTTGCCTAGATCAAGTGAGGTACGATAAACCTCTTAGATGAAATATCCAAATAGGAATCACCGATTCCGTTAATAGTGATGAACCTGTTATCCTGATAGCCACGCACAAATGTTCTCTAGAATACCTGGAATCTCACATAAAGATTTCTTTTTTAAAATTAAGGCAAGTGTAATTCCCAAATTTAGGCGGAATAGTTCCGTTGAAGTAATTCACAGAAAACAAAAACTCAAAAAGGAAAATTTGAAATTATACATAATTGAAAATCATTTCCTCTCGAAAGAAAACAAAAACTCACATCTAAAATTGAAAATCACGAATAATACCTAAATCAAAATTCGCAAACAGATTTATAAAGAAGAAGAGGCAACATTAATGACCAACTAGTTAATAATTTCAACATATATTACTAATTTATAAACATTGTGTCCATCATAGCCATCGCTTGTTCTCTTTACCAATAGAACCTCCACCGTCAGATTACCTCTCCCTATTGATCTTTATGTTCATTGAAGCATCCATCTCCCTCCCGATTTTCCATCATGGGTTTAATGATTGCTGGCTAACACATTGAAGAAGAAGACTATGACTGCGCAAGAGAAAGAATGAGGCGTGATGAATTAGGTAGGGTTAATGAACTTTATTTATTTATTTATTTATTAATTTCAAAAATTAAAAATTAGAGGGAGCGAGAGAGAGAGAGAGAGAGAGAGAGAGAGAGAGAGATACAGAGACCCATTGAAAATTAAATAATAAATTTCTTTTTTATGTTTTTTAAATAGAACAAATTACTAAAATGGTCCCTGTTGTTTGCACAAATTTTACGTTTAGTCCATATAGTTTATTTTGCACGTTGGGCATCCCTAACATTTGCTTTTAATACACTTTTGGTCCCTATGTCTGTCTGCTGTTAGCCCTCTCAGTTAATACACCCCAAGTGCCTAGCACACTAGGGGTATTTTTGTCTTTTTAAAATAAAAGTTTTATAAGAACGGTTTTCAAATATGAGATGAATCCAATCTTTCTTCCCTACACCTTCGACCTCTACTCTTCTTCTCTGCAACTCGTTGATTTCAGAAATCGATAATGGCGATAAGGTGTGATTATGGTTATCCAACTATTATACGAACTTCAACGACTAAGAAAAACCCTCGAAAGTGATTCTACTGTTGTACTGGAGAGGTAATTTTCGGTTTAATCGATTATGCTGCTTGGTCTCAACATTTAATCGAAATTACACCTAATTATTGAAATTGTAGGGACCACGATGTAGGTTTCTATGTTCGGTTGATGAAGATAGGTCGGTCATGCCGACTTAATGAAGAGCTTTAAAAGGAAAACAAAAGGTTGAGATTTTTGCTACAGTGCAGTTGGGTTTTTTGTGGCAATTCTAGTTTACAAATTGTAATGTAATTTCAATGTATTGGATTGTGATTGACTAGTCGGCATATATTGTAGTTGACTGGAATGGAATGTAATAGTAGTGGAATGAAATGGATTGTAATTGACTGGAATGGAATTTAATTAAATGGAATTGAAAGTATTTTGGTTTTATTGTAATTAGAATGCACTTTGGAAGGTAATTTGACATGATTAGATTGTAGTTGTGTATTGATTGTAATTGGAATGGAATTGTGTAATGCAATTGGAAGGCAATTTGGCATGATTATGGAATGAATGAAATACAAAAGATAATAACAAAAACATAATGTTAACAAAAGTTGAAGATGTTATTAAAAGATCATCATAATATTAACAGAAGATCTTCATAATATTAACAAAAACATCAACACATTACATAGTCTAAAAAATCCATTACATTAGGCTACAAAATAAAACAAGTAGGATGCTTTCAATTTGCTTTTTTGCCCTTTTTCACAGCCACACGTGGTCTCTTCTTAGCTGCACCACTTTCACTGCTCTTCCCAGGCCCACTTGGTCTCTTCTTACCAGAAACACTTACACTGCTTTGACCTGTACCACTTGCACCAGTTGCTTTCCTTTTATCTACACCACTTGCATTACTTTGACCAGCACCACTTACATTGATTTTACTTGCACTACTTGCACTACTCTGAAATTTGCAACTCCTTTTGTTATGCCTAAGTTTTTTGTATTTTGAGCATGTGACAGATTTCTCTTTCCATGAAGCGCTACCACCTTGCACCATCTCTTCCAGTTCAACCATAGACTTCCTTCTCTTCTTCTTTGGTCTACCAATGGGAACATGATGCTTGGAAGGAAACAATGTTGTAGGACAATCATAGTTTTCCCATATTCTTTGTCCATTAATAGGCTCAACATTGAAGGAATACATATCCTTTAAATGTGCTCAACCAGTAAGTAGGATGCACCCAAGTTTCAGGTATACCAACATTTTTCTTGTTTTTCCTCATGTCCCATATTGCCACTAATGCATGTTTACAAGGAATGCCATTGAGTTCCCATCTCCTGCATGAGCATGTGTGTTTCTTCATGTCCACCACACATTGTTGATACACATAAAAAGGATCAACAACACAAGCCTTATTTCTTTCCTGTACCACTCTTATTGCTTTTTTTTCTTTTTTATGTTTGACTCCCATCTTCATCAGATGAAGAATCAGATGGCATTGCATCTTAGTTTACTATCTCAATGTCACCAATATCCCTACTACATTTCTCCATACCAAGTGACCCTGACTGATTACCGATCCACTCTAAATCCTTGTCAATGTGTAGAAAATATTCTTTCATATCAACCTCAGGTTCATCTATAATGTGATCCTCATCAAACACAAAAATCACTATCATTACTATTAGATAATTCATGAGAATCCCCTCCACTGTCTTCAGTTTGATTTCCCTCATCCACATCAACATCAGAACCATTAAGATCAAACTCATCCACATCAGGTCCATTAAGATCAAACTTAACAGTTGGTGCTCGAAATTTAACTCCATCAGCAGTTGGTGCTTGAAATTGAACTCCATCAATGAAATCTTCCAAATTCAAGTAATCACTAGCTGTAAAAAGGGGATGTTTCAACTCCATTAATTGTAGAAGGTGGTGTTTGAACTTCATCATCGTCCACTGTTTGGTCAATATGGGGTGCTTGTTCTTGATCATTAGTCTCAACATGTGGTGTTCCATTCTTATCCCCTTGGCTACTCTCCCCATGATTAATATACCCTTTTTAGACTAGATCCCATATTTTGAATTGATCTCCTGTTTGGACTTGATCCCCTATTTTAGAGCTCTTCTATTCTAACATTATCCTTATAGAGGGGGTTCAATAATTTCTTGTATCCTAACTCTGTTGAATCTATATCCCAAGAATCATTATGGAATGATATTGCTAAGAATATATGATCCTATAGGGTCACACCTTTATCAAGTTGGCACTTTTTGTATATTTATTATTAATGTGATTATTAATAAATAATATCGATTCTTGTATTTTAATTAGGGAATGATTATTGTTTTGTGAAAATAATAATTATAAGAGAGTATAACTAGTTATTATTTCATATGGTATAAATTAATAGGTCATGCCTAACATTTTGGACTATTTGGATTCTTTTCTCTTGTACCTAAAGACAAAGTTTATATTTTATAAACTTAGAATTTATAAAAAAAAAAATTAAAGAATACATCCTCTTTTGAGAGGTATGACCCAAAATATTAAAATAAGATGGATGATGCTTTTTCGGCCTCGATGCTTTGTCTCCCATGCTTCTAAAGGCTACCATTACTTTTGAGTATTTTAATGGTTAGGCCTTACCTTGCATGGACTATATAAAGAGTGCCTTATGTATTTTAATGGTTAGGCCTTACCTTTGAGTATCTTTTGAGAGTGCCTTATATAAAGGGTCCAACGAGCTACGGGACTGGAGGGTCCCGCTGAGGCACAGTGATGAGAGGGTCGTACAGAGCATAGCCTCGAGTGGCGAATTGTTGTATGTGGTATTTTGGGGAACTCACTAAGCATCCGTGCTTACCGTGTTATGTGTTATGTGTTTCAAGTACCCCAGAGGATCGCGGGAAGGCACCGACATGATTGTACACACACTCTTGATATGGAGCTATGTTTGTGGATCCTTGATTTGACTTGTTGTTTTGAAAACTTTGTTGATGGATATTTGGATTTTGTTAATGAGACACGTGTTTTATGATTGTTAAAAATAAAATTTTTGGTGTGAAATTTTTGGTTGTTACAAGTTGGTATCAGAGCCTTGGTTTGAGGGATTCGAATACACCTTCGGGCATATCTTAACTCAAACTGAGGATTTGAGAAAAGTTTTCAAAAAGAAACAATTTTTCTAAAAAGAGTAAAAGATTCCCGAAAGAGCGGAAAAGAGCAGTGTGTACAACCAGCCAGCACCCGAACGATGATTTCCCAAAATACCCTTACTTTATGTGTTATGTGATAATATGAGATATGATATGCATGCTAGAGAGTGGGCTAGGTACTTCATAATCAAGGACTAGAGTGGTCTGATTTATGATGCCTTAGCCCAGGAGTTACTGCTGCTGTGAATTTCTTCGAGTGTGAGTAGGCAGCAGAGAGGATTTTATGAGAGGTCTATTAGGGTGTAGCCTGTATTCAGTAAGACGTAGAGTGCTTGTGAACTGGGACCCTAGGAGGAGGACTTGGGGTGAAAACTGATGTTGTGTGGAAGGTAGTGTAGGGCCCGTACTACTGGAGACACCGGATCAGTAAGTAGTCCAAGTAAGAGTCCTTAGGGTACCAAGAAACGAGTAAGAGTGGGCGATCGAGTGAGGGTGATCTCGATTGAGTCTCTGATTATTTTATCTTGTGTTTCAGAGACATCATGGTGGTTACGCGCCACAACGACGGAGGCAGTGGTACCAGTGATGAGGAGATTCGTAGGATGATTCGTGAGGAGGTGGCCGCAGCCATTCGAGCTGAGATACCATAGATGTTTGGGTCTATCAAGACCACGCTGATTGAGACATTTGACAAGCGATATGCTACTCTTACTGAGGCTGTTGTTGCTGCAGCCACCGCAGCCGTCGCCGCTGCTAGACCACAGGGGGTGACTCGTTGCTGTACCGAGAGTTCAGCAACACGAAGGCTCCAGAGTTTGACGGGACGCAGGACCCGATTGCTGCTATGAGATGGATCTCTGACATTTAGGGGTGTTTCTACACTTGTTCCTGCCCGGAACATTTGAAAGTACGGTTCGCGTTGAACCAGCTTCGCTTGGGAGCGAAGGACTGGTGGAAGTTTGTGACAGCTGACTTTACTACTGCAGAGCTTACAGCGGTGACCTGGGAGAGATTCACCGCTATGTTCCGAGACGAGTACGTTCCCCCGGTAGAGAGGGAACGGTTGGCCCAGGAGTTCTTATCCCTCAAGCAGGGGACTGACTCTGTGACTGTGATCACCCAGATATTTCATGAGAGGGCGTTGTTTTGCCCTGAGCACGTGTCTACTGAGCAGGCACGTATGAGCCGATATATGAGCATACTGAGGAGATACATTCGTGAGTTTGTGGCGAAATCGACATACCGAACATTTGTCGAGCTCCAGGCAAATGCTCAGAAGAGGGAGATTGAGCTAGAGACTCACGCCAGGGAGAAGGCGGAGTCTCAGAGGAGGGATAGGCGGCCGGCACAGTCTCAGCCGGCGACCATGCGGGTAAAGCCCGCTGATTCGAGATTGGGGGGCCAGAAGGGCCGCACTTGTGAGAAGTGCGACAAGAGCCATGATGGGGTGTGCAGAGCAGGTGTGTGTTACAAGTGCACGAAGGAGGGGCATATCGCGAGGGATTGCCCCAAGGGATTTTCGGTTTGCTTCCATTGCAACCAGACTAGCCATAGGAAGGCCGAGTGCCCGCAGTTGCTCCATGGATCAGCGCAGGGATCTGCGCGTTCTGCTACTCGAGCTGCAGAGAGTCGGCCAGTGAAGGCCGAAGCACCGAAGGCTCGCGGTAGAACCTTCCAGTTGACAGCGGAGGAGGTTCGCGCAGCACCCGACGTTGTGGCTGGTATGTGATCTTTTGCTTATTCTTTTTTTATATATGGTGCTTATTTGTGATGTGTTCATGTACTTTTCTTGTGAGTTCTGTACCTTCTTTGGTGTTGTTTGACTCGGGTGCGAGTCGATCCTTCGTATCGCTAGCATTTAGTCGTCACATCAGCATCCGACGAGAGGCGTTGAGTCGACCTTTGAGAGTCTCAATAGTTGATGAGCATGCTGTTTTTGCGACTGATGTGATCCGGGGATGTGTGCTTGAGATTTTTGGAGTCGAGTTTCCAATAGATTTGGTACCTATCACGATGGGTGATGTATGTGTCATCGTGGGCATGGACTGGTTGAGTCGATTCGGAGCTATGATCGACTGTGAGCGGCAGCTGGTGACCATCCGAAACCCTAGTGGGGGAGTACTTACAATATACGACGATGGTACCCGATCTGGGTCAGCATTTTGTTCGGCTGCTCGAGCGAGGCAGAGCTTGCAGCTGGGTTGCATAGGTTTTCTGGCGTATGTGGTGGGGAGAGACTGAGTTCTATCACTGAGGTTCCGGTAGTGAGTGAGTTTCCGGACGTTTTTCCCGAGGAGTTACTAGGTGTGCCTCCCGAGAGGCAGGTGGAGTTTCGTATTGATTTGCTTCCGGGGGCGGCACCTATCGCCAAGGCACCCTATCGCCTTGCGCCGCAAGAGATGCAGGAGTTATTCTCGCAGCTTCAGGAGCTGTTGGGAAAGGGAGTTATCCGGCCAAGTAGCTCGCCGTGGGGAGCACCGATCCTTTTTGTCAAGAAAAAGGATGGTGCACACCGGATGTGCATTGATTACCGGGAGTTGAACAAGTTGACGGTCAAGAACCGTTATCCACTCCCGACGATCGACGATTTGTTCAATCAGTTGCAGGGTGGATCTTGGTTTTCCAAGATCGATTTGAGGTATGGTTATCATCAGATGAGGGTCCGTGAGGAGGATATTCAGAAGACAGCATTTAGAACTTGTTATGGGCATTACGAGTTTGTGGTGATGCCTTTTGGGCTCACCAATGCACCAGCAGCGTTCATGGATCTCATGAACCGTGTATGCAGGCCTATGTTAGATCGTTCGGTGATCGTTTTCATCGACGATATTTTGGTGTATTCGAGGTCTAGAGAGCAACATGAGGAGCATTTGAGAGAAGTCCTTGGAGTATTGAGATCGGAGAGGCTTTATGACAAATTCTCCAAGTGTGATTTCTTGTTACGAGAGGTCTAGTTCTTGGGACACCTCGTTAATCAGAATAGGATTTTGGTCGACCCGGCCAAGATTGAAGCGGCTATGAGTTGGGAGGTGCCGAGATCCCCCACCGAGATCAGGAGTTTTTTGGGGTTGGTCGGCTACTACCGGAGATTTATCAGAGATTTCTCCAAGATTTCTGTTCCTCTCACCAAGTTGACCCGGAAGAGCGTTGCTTTTGTTTGGGGTTCCGAGCAGCAGACCTCGTTTGAGAATCTTCGCCAGAGATTTTGCAAAGCTACAGTGTTAGCTCTTCCTGAGGGGATGGAGGACTTTGTGGTTTACTACGGTGCATCTATATCGGGGTTAGGTGCAGTGCTTATGCAGAGAGGGCACGTGATAGCATATGCATCGAGGCAACTGAAGCCTCATGAGACGAGGTATCCCACCCACGATTTACAGTTGGGGGCAGTGGTGTTCGCCCTCAAGATCTGGTGCCATTACTTGTACGGGGTTCGGTGTACCATATTCACGGACCACAAGAGCTTGAAGTATCTGATGGATCATCCCAACCTGAATATGCGCCAGAGAAGGTGCTTGGACGTAGTAAAAGATTACGACTGTGAGATTCTGTATCACCCGGGCAAGGCTAACATGGAAGCCGATGCCCTGAGCCGCAAGGCGGAGAGTTCCCCGATTCGGGATATATGCATGAGGATGACAGTGATGACTCCGGTATTGGATACCATTCGAGAGGCCCAGGCGGAGGCCATGAGACCGGATAACCGCAAGAAGGAGCAGGTGATCGGCCAGGTATCCGAGTTTGTGACGGATAGTCGGGGACTTATGACCTTTCGAGGTCGGATTTGGGTGCCTTATACGGACGGAGCTCGTAGCACTCTGATGGAGGAGGCGCATAGGTCGAGATTTTCGATCCATCCTGGGGCCACTAAGCTGTATTTAGATTTGAAG